TTTTTTTTTCAGAAAACAACCTGACTAGTATCTTTAGTCATTTTGCTTCTCAAGTAAATATATCTTGCTTTATTAGATATTTGTACTGGAAAACAAGATACATATATACATTTATATTTTCATATTTATATTTTTTAAATATATCTTCAATGACCAAAAAACATATCGGTAGAAAATATATTTACGTAAATATATTTTAAAACGCATTTTAGCAAACAGATTTTTTAAAAATAATTTCTGTAGATTTTTAAATATATTTTTTGCTGTATATATGGAAGTGAGTTTATTTGTTTTGTATTTTTTGCATTTATTTTCTCTACCTTGATATTCCATCCAGAATTCCTTTCACTTCATGCATCTTTTCTGACCCAAAAAGCACCACGGTGAGATGCGTCCGTCCATCCTGACGAATGCAAGCGTCACTGAGACACAAGGAGAAGAAATAAAGCATCACGTGACGTGCAAACTCACCGACGGGTCAAAAGAGGTTCGGTTTTACCTGAAATGTTGCATGAATTGTCTGAATGCATCCACTGTGTCAGCCAGAGGTACGATTATATTGATGAGGATCTGAGATGCATCCATCAGTTCCTCCTTCACCTTCATCAGCGGCGCGAAAGGACGGAAGAACACCAGCCTCCTGAAGTCTGGAACGCTGTTTTCTCTGAACGTGAGATCGTATAATGTTCCTTTGTCCCTCTCTGTGCGAAAGATTCCTGCCATTAAAGAGAAATTACATTTGAAGCAGCCTCTACTGTAAAAAAAATCATTATAATTTTTACAGCAAAAGACTGTATAAATGTAACCTGTTCATTTTTAAATAATAGATCTAGATCTAAAATACGTATACAGTAATATACTATTAAAAGGGCAGTTTTTAGAAGTCAAAAACAAGACATTTATTGACACTCATATTTGATGGTTTTATATTGTAACAACTTTTTTTCTTAGTTTTTTTGTCATCAGTTCTGCTTTTGTGTGTTGTCAAATGCATGTTTATTGCAGTGTTTTAGTGTAATGTGTGTAAATGTTTATGACACTGTGTGCATCTATATATTAATATTTATCTCAGCTTATGGAAAAACTACTTGTGATTAACTGCGATTCATGATTTTGTAGTTTTAAAGGTGTTTGTCAATATATTAAAGGGAGAAAAAAAACAGATTTTAGTCATTTGGTGTATTAACATTATTTCAGTTAATTAAATATACATTTTTACTGTGAAATGTTGCTACACTGCAAAAATATGATTTCCTTCCTCAGTATTTGTGTCTTGTTTTCCAGTGCAAATATCTAAATATTCTTAAATCAACATACATTTACTTGAGAAGCAACATGATTTAAGATATTAAAGGGATAGTTCACCCAAAAATGAAAATGTGATGTTTATCTGCTTACCCCCAGGGCATCCAAGATGTAGGTGACTTTGTTTCTTCAGTAGAGCACATTTGATGATTTTTAACTCCAACCGTTGCAGTGTCCGTCGTATAATGCATGGCAATGGTAACAAAATCTATGAGAGTAAAAAAAACATGCACAGACAAATCCAAATTAAACCCGGCGGCTCGTGACGACACATTGATGTCCTAAGACACCAAACGATCGGTTTGTGCCAGAAATCGAACAATATTTATATCATTTTTTACCTCTAATACACCACTATGTCCAACTGCCTTGAGCGAGCGTACGGCATCCGGTGCGTGAGGTGTGTACGCGCTCTGGCGTAGTTTACGCAAGCGCCGGAAGTGATCTCTCGCGCGTATACGTCACTCATTGTTTACACAATGCACAGTCATTGTAGGTACGACGGCTAATCAAAATGGTACTTACTTGCGCTTATCCGGATTGTTCAAACCGACTTAAAACTAAAAGATTACGTTCTCTCGCGCGAACTCATTCGGGAGTGGTGACTTTCCACGTATTCCCAACTTCTGAGCCTGCTCGCCTGAAGTTATGGTTGATTGCTCTTCGGCTGGATATCAACACACCCATGAACGTAAACTACACCAGAGCGCGTACACACCTCACGCACCAGATGCCGTGC